TTAGTGACAATTTATGGTTAAAGTCTGAGTGTGCTTAAATACTACCAACTAATTGAAGATAAAATTGAGGAGGTGGAGATGGGAGGAACAGTGATAAAGATACCATGCTGGAATTTAAAATCAGAGAAACAAAAACTTACTGCCTAGATCCTAAGGTGCACTCTCAAATTTTGTTGTTTCCAAGAGATAATTTAAAAAACATTTGCTATGCTTACCTGATACAGCACTAATTTTTCTGAAAACCTAATATTAAATTAACGGTCTTACAAACAAAAAGTAACGGTCTTACAAACAAAAATACAATACACTGAACCCCAACTGTGAAACATCAGTTCATATGCAATCATTAAAATATTGTCAAAGACTATAAAACCATACGGAAAAAAGCAGTATAAAATTTGCAACTAAGATATGATTTCAATAATATGAAGGCAATGTGTGCACTTGAACAAGAAAATGAAATTAATTCCTTAGATCTACTACTGCAAAATAATTATCAGAGCAGATTACAATACAAAAGAGAAGGTTATCCAAGTGCAGTAATTTTGTATTCCGTTAATTCTTTTTACTCTTAGGAATCTCTGAAATGGCACCTCCATTCTATATTAAGTAATAAAATAGATCTATCTACATAGGATCATAAACTCTAGTTATACTAACCTGTTAACCCTAAACACCTGGCTGCAACCACCACCACTATATATAAGCATCAAAATGCACAATCAAAAATTCACTCTTCGAGGAGCCTGGAATGTTCTGACTGACATCTATAACGAGTGATGAGAACTGCAGTATCTTTGGCTCAAGCAGCTGGGGGGGGGTGAGTAGGATTTCACTTATTGCAAATTACTTACATGAAATTTCATGTCACAATTTGGTGGCTATTTTAATAACCGGAAAAAAAACGTGCAAAATGAAAACTGCTGAGAAGTTGAGACACCATGTTGTCTTAAAAAAAAGTCAAGAAACCAAAAGAAAATGACATTTTGAAAAACAGAAAAAACTCTACAAAAAAATTTTTCAGTACTGTACAGTTAGATGCAGTACTTTATCTTGCTTTCTATATAAAAGGAGTAAGATCCTAGTAACAGGATGCAGTTATCTTACCAGAAACTATGTTACCAAAGGCTATGTCTATGCTAGGACACAACTTGTCTCTCCTATTGGATACTTACCCACCCCTTTCTCTCTAGAGCCCCTCACTCATGGCTGGTCTCACACTAGTCAGGCCCAGGCCCATTCTCACTGAACCATGGACTGTAAGATCCATTTTTGACAGCTAACCTCATATTAAAACTGAAACCTTTGGAAATTCCAGATGGTCTTTGTTTAGAATGACTTTACCAATCAAAGGAGCAATGCAGGGCTTCCCTCGTGGCACAGTGGTTAAGAATCCGCCTATTCAGACTTCCCTGGAGGTCCGGTGGTTAAGGCTCTGCCTTCCAATGCAGGAGGCCTGGGTTAGATCCCCGGTCGGGGAACTAAGATCCCACATGCCATGGGGTGCAGCCAAAAACTAAAAA